GTTTTATAGTTGCTTGATAATGGCTAAAAGCGTACCAGCGTGACCGATTATTGGCGACCTCTTCCCATCTCTCGATGTCCATGCTCATCGACGTCATGTCCCTTTTGAAGACGTCCTTGAATCGAAGATGAGCGCGCCTTCTTGTCGGTGATCAGTTCCCCATACGGAAGATATATATATATATATATATATATATATATCTTAAAACATCTCAAGAAGATATTGGGCTATTGAGCATTTGGGCAATCTAGACTCAGTGTTTCTCAACTTTTTGAACCGACAGCATACCTAAAAGTAAATGAAAATATCGCAGCACACTTAACCATATATTTTAAGGGTATTTTAAAAAATGAATATTAAAACAAAATATTTAAAGCAACATAATCGAAGAATAGTAAAAAAGATTTATTTGAGAAATACTTATTCATTTATTCAAATACTAATGCTGTAGCATTACTACTTCCACACACACGCACATATATTTGTATGCCGGGGCATCTCGAGGTGGTTTAATGGTTAGCAAGCTTGTCTCGTTAGAACAATTACGAAAGAGTAGTGAGTTCGATCCTCACTAGGCGCCCCTTTCTTTCGGCCTTGTGACACATCCAAGCTACGCTTAGAAAAAAAGGGCGCCTCGGCGTGGTGTAATGGTTAGCAAGCTTGTCTTGCTAGATCAGTTACTACTGAAAAGTGAGTTCGATCCTCACTGGATGCCCCATACTTTCGGCCTTGTGCCACATCTAAGCTACACTTGGAAAATCTCTCTATATATGTATGCCGTGACAATATTTCGCGGCAAATTTAAGTGGATCGCGCAGCACACTAACGTGCTGCAGTACGGCGGTTGAGAATCGCTGGTCTAAGCCATGGTAGCATCAAAAACAACAAAAAAGCCTCTCTCCTTTGTCTCTCTCTCTCTCTCTCTCTTTCTCTGTCTGTCTGTCTCACTGACACACATGCATACACACGCACACACATACATATATTTAGGAAATGGATTAAATTCAACATATTTTATTTGTTTAAACGTTATTTTAAATATTTTTCTAACCAGATCTCTCGAATATTCATGCCGTTAGGTGTAAATAAATACATATACTGTTTAATAAATAAATAAAAACAGAGTATCTACTCAAATATGTGTATCCATTTAAGATAACGTTTAAACAAATAGGAATTAATATATATATATATATATATATATATATATATATATATATATATATATATATATAGAGAGAGAGAGAGAGAGAGAGAGAAATTATAAAGGGGAGCCCATGGTGAAACGCCAGTCCATGCTAATGTATAACGAGATTCTGTTGGAAAGAAAGTGAAAAACGTTCCATTAAGCTCGACAATTCCCGTCGAGCAGGCGATTCAATTTTGATCGCTAATCATCAAACAGAAAATCCCTGTAGCAAAATAATTTAAAAAGGGTTTATTATTCACATTAAAATGCATTAGCCTTATTTTACACGGCTGGATCTCACACTGAGTCGTACACGCGCACGCGCAGACACACGCTTGCATACAAGCATGTATTCACACACAGACCTGCAAATACGAAACAATGAGTATATATATATATATATATATATATATATATATATATATATATATATATATATATAGCCTTGGATGGCAACTGGTCTAGGAGAAGGACAACTCTGAATTCAAAACCCGCGGATGGTCGTTTGGGAATCTTGTGGCACTTAGTGCACCAGGTCTCTGAATTCGGCCCTTCAAAAAGTGTGGCTGGTCTTGTACGAGACCTTCACCACTATAATCAAATCTCATGTGCTACTGTCGGTTTCCTGGGAACTGATCTGCTTGACCCTCATACATTTCGATGGGAGAGTCGACTATTATGACTTCATCATATATATATATATATATATATATATATATATATATATATATATATATATATATGTCGTTATCACATAAAACTCTTTTATAAAGGCTTATAAAAGTCGAAAGTAATCAGACATTAAACAATTTAAAGAAACAGCCTCACAAAATCGAAACATAAACTTCCTCTATCGGTTCATAAAATTGTACAACTATGTAAACTAACCACCGTTTCTTCTCTTTACATCTCTTTCTGTTTATCGATGGCGTTTCCAATAGCGATGTTCTTGCTTATCTGTCCCTAGAATTTTTAGAGACTGGCCCATTTAAACACTTCATCCCTAAAAAGTCCACTCATTTAAATATGTACCAGACACCAGGGAAATTGCTCGAAATACAAAAAAAAAAAAATCCTTAACAAAGAACTTTCGTTGGTCTTTAACGAGACTTGGATCTATCTATCTATCTATCTATCTATCTATCTATCTATCTATCTATCTATCTAAGTCTATTCATCTCTCTCTCTCTCTCTCTCTCTCTTTATATATATATATATATATATATATATATATATATATGTGTGTGTGTGTGTGTGTGTACAGCCCTGTGCATAAGTTAGTGAATGCCTGAGATAATATTTTTAAAGAATTGTCTCTTTGTTCCAGATGACCAACAAATCTTAATTAAACTATATATTCATTAAGAAAAAAACCTTTATTAAATGAATTACCACCAATTCCAAAGATTTTTTACTAAGTTGGAATAAAAATATTAATTAAAAATTAAGATATGTAAAAGTAAGTGAACCCTTACATTTACACTCTGTATTTTTTTGTTGGAAAGTGCCTGAAAATCATACTGCAGGTTGAACCAAGCCTCATGAATGAAATTGGGTAGACAGAACCGTTCCGAAGCAGTCGATAGTTGTGCTAGCATGGATTAGCCCGCACTGGCCTTGTACAAACTGTTGATTATACCAACTTATGCGCTCTCTCCCAGAAACTGTAACTAATGTCGGCATAGGTGCCGTATAAACCTCGATGAGGGTTGAAGGAACGCAAAGGTGCCTCATCAGGCGTCTTCAATAGGGATTGGCGAGCGACCATAAATATACATACATATGGGCAAATGAATGACAATATGGAAAATGTTCCTAAGCAGGCGTCTGCAACAGGGATTGGCTTGTCACGATTGCTGACGTTTAAGCTTGGAAACGAGTAGCCGGCCATTACACACACACACACACACACACACACACACACACACACATATATATATATATTTATATTAGCATTATGTGACTGTTAGGAATAATTTCAAGAAGGATATTAATCCAGAGAGAGCTCAATGTAAACTACAGAGCATTATAATAAAAATGAATCAAGTAGAAGACCTTAAGAATTCATTTCGGTTATAATCTATTTCGTAAATATTTCTATATATTCATCTCTTCAGACCAAAAGTTCTTAAACTTAGATTTAGGAGCCTTCCGTCTGAAGAGATGAATATATAGAAATATTCACAAAATAAATTATAACCGAAATGGGTCTTTAATGTTTTTTTCTTGCTTGATTATATATATATATATATATATATATATATATATATAAACAAAGAATCACCTACCAGTTGTACAGTCTGGCCACTACTATAAGTTTTCTGCCTTTAGGCAATCGTCAGTTGGTCAGCTGTAATGCGAAAATGGGCGCGTTTATACACCCAGGAAAGACTAAGATGGAAAAAAAATATATGTATGGACAGTATTCGAGTACCATGCCTAAGCAAATTAATTTCACCTGGAGGAGGGGAAAGCATTCATCCGGACAAGATCAAAATAAAGTCGTAACAATGGCAAGATATTCGTATCATGAGCAGGCAATTGTATTTTTTTACACACGGCCGCGCGAATATTAATGGATGCGAGGCTGCATTTCCAGACCGAAGGCAGCCGAGTCATTCAAACATTTGCTGCTGTTTTTCGTCGTGTTGCTGAGACAGGATCCGTGGCACCACAAACTGTAGAACACGGAAGACCGAGATTCGCTCTTACGTCTGACCATGAAGAACACACTCTACATGGCCTTTTGGACATATGTTTATATGGACATTTTATCTTGTTTTGGTGTCAAGAACCCCCCCCCACCAAAAAGTTATTTTTGATACACTCTGTATATACAGAGAGAGAGAGAGAGAGAGAGAGAGGGAGAGAGAGGGAGAGAGGGGGGAGAGAGTGAATTTTGTGTATGTGTGTGTGTGTGTATGTGCATCTGTGTGTGCGTGGTGGTGGTAGTGGGGAAGAAATGCATGATTGAAAACTCACCAACGTGTGAATGGCCCGTAGGAAGTATAATGGGATTTATGCATATAAATAATTTTTTTAAAAAATAAATATATCAAAAGAGGTCTTTGCTTTGCTTGTAATAAAAATAATTAAATATACGCTTTGTTTGAAGACTAAAGCAAAACAAAAAAAGCAGAAAAAATAAGCGATAATATAAAATCTAAATTGAAAACTCGCCTCTTATGCAAAAATACAAAAAAGGATTGTTAATTTATTTGTTTTCTCTCTAACTCCCTAAAGCTGAACGCAGGTTGTGGGAATCGATGACGAAATCTGGGAAACTCTTATTCAATGGATCTGGCTAGTAGTCTTTGATCTCTGACGATAAACAGAAGAGGATGTCGAAGCTTATTATCAAGATTACTTACACATGCGAATATATCTCTCCGTTTATCCTCTTTATTTCATTCGAACTATTGATTTAAATTCTTCTACTTATATGTGCCGTGTCCTTTCAGGACGTTGAGGATCATGGCTCTCCACATCTTCCTGTCCCTTGTAGCTCTTAACAAATTTTGCCTTTTTGCTATCTCTCCCAAACCCTGTTTCGACATCCACTTACTCAAGCTCGCTAGGTATGTTATGCATTGTTTGCCTCTGTCTATTACCGTCAATCTATACTGTGAGTATCAGATTTTCCAAACCCTCTTTCCTCGTTAAGTGCCCTTGAAATTTCAGATGTTAACTGTAAGTGTCCTTTTGTTTCCATTTTCTCTAAAATTTCGTCGTTGCTCATATGTTCGGTTCACGGTATTCTCAGCATCCTTCTGTAGAACCACATTTCAGTTGTTTCAAGTCTTTATTTGGCTTACGGTCAGATCAGGTTGAAACACTGGCTCCCGTATGATCATCGAAGTTAAGCAACGTTGAGTTTGGTCAGTATATTAGATGGGTGACCACTTGGGAATACCGGGTGCTGTAAGCTTGGATGTGGTATAATTGATAATGGCTAAGAATTGTTAATCGGAGAGCCGAGTTCCAATTCCGATTGGGTTTATTATATTCATTTAGGCGCAAATACCATTGGGAAAGATAGGAATCCACCTTTTCTCCCTCCAGCTATGGGTTAATTAGTAAGACTTGTATCACTAATCTTTATTATCTAAGAAAATGTAAATTTGAGGCTTTAAATAGCATGCAAAGGGTTAAGCCGTGTAAAACGAATCAGTCAATCAATCATAGTCTTCATCTGCGAGGAGATTGTTTAGTATTCACTGCCATAAAGAAGAACTGATATTTCGTAACAATTCAGTAGTGAAGGTAATAAATATTGAAACCAACTACTGACGACATTTTACTCACGTCAGAATCAGGATGAATTACAAGCAATATTAAATTATCTAATCAAGGAATCTCAATTTTGGTTTGAAAATGAACGGAAATAAAACAAAACTAATATTCAAATGTAACGAGGGAATAGAAAGTCCTAGAATACATAGACGTAGGACAGATGTTCAGCTCCCTGTACAGTTCCAGTAAGTACCTGACTCCTGCTATCCTCTACTGTTATAAGAGCCATATCAGCCTCCCCCCACCCCAACAAAAAAAAATGAGTACTGTTGTCATATTTGGGCTGGAGCTGCTCAGACCTCACTTTCCAGCCTTGATAGAGTTCAAAAGCGTCTGCGAGCCCTTGTGGATGACGAATTATCCTCCACTCTTCAACCCTCTCACACAAGCGGGATTTGACAAGCCTTTCGCTGTTATACCGCTACTTCCATGGAACGTGCACGAACGAACTACATTTCCTGGTCCCGTCAAGGCAAACCTTCATGTCCAGAACACGCCATGCCACTTACCTAGTAGTAAACCACTCACATTTCTTCCGTATTCCATCGGTGAGAAGTAAGTTCCACTCCAGCAGTTTCTTCCCGCGAATTACTGCCCTGGGGAACCGACTCCCAACAGGATGTTTCCCCGATCACTACAGTCTTAACCTAATCAAGGCTAGTGTTAATAGTTATCTCCTTCATCTATACACACAAATAGTCTCCTAACGCAACCCTCTACCTCGAGTAGCCCTCGAGCCTTGTACTTGTAAGGGGTGACCCTCACTGTAAAAAAAAAAGATGCTGGAAAAAGTTGCGGCTCAATCCATCATTCCAGAATGTTCCTGATTCCTTCTGCTATACGTTATCTTTACAAGGATCAGATATAACCAAAAATGGATTCTTGCTGGCATTTTGGGACTGGCGCTTCCTAATCATTTATGCAGTTCTGTGGAAGAAGACATTTCCCACATTACAGCTTCTTTTCCTCAAATGCACTTTCAGAAGCCTAGCCCTACTCTATCACTATTTCCATGGCAAATGTTCAGCTAAACTATGTCCTTTAGTTCAACCAATTCACACCTTGAGAGCTAGGACATGCCATGCTATCTCTACAGAATTGAATCATTCACATTTCCCCTGTATCTCAAATGTAAGGAGAAGCATCCATTCAAACAGCTTTTTCCTGAAATTTTTCATTTGTGGAGCAAATACACATGTCGATGCTTCCCTGAACACTACAATCGTTTAACCTCCTCAGTTCAATCGTTATCCTGATCTTCATAATCTCTACTTCCTGTCACCTTACACACCTTATTCAGTAACGCTCTATCTTGAGGGGTTCTCGAGTCTTGTTTTGGGTGAATTCAAGTATATAAAAAATATAGTGAGACCATGAAATACATCAGTGTATAATGCCAATAAGAGATAATGACATTATGAAAAGCCCCTTGTCAATATGCTTAAAATGTAAAGGGCATAAATAATATATAATGACAGCTATATCTTCTATAGGTTGTGTGCCTTCAAGAAGTCGTCGATCATGGTTCTCCACAGCTTTCTATCCTTTGCAGCTGTTATTAAGTCTTTTTTGCACCCCTCCCTCCCAGTTAACGTTCTACCATCCATTTACACAAACTAATGAGGTAGGTTAGTCTGGTTTTCAATATGTCCTCTGAGTACCAATTTCTTCTGTCCTCATTATGTATCCTTGAAATGACAACTGTCTCTTTCTGATTCAAAGTATTAGTGTTCTTTTTTACTGCCATTTTCTTACCGGTACCGCTGGCAATAAAACTTGACGCACATGAATAATGACAGTAGAAAATTATTCGTTTTATAACTTCTTCTTCTTCTTCTTCTTCTTGCAGTAGTTTTTTGAGAAAACAAAGATTAGAAAATGACTTATCTCATAATAAAATCTACAATAGTCTAATTCCCATTTTCAATTCTTCTTCTTGTCTATTTAGATCATAGCTCTCCGCAACTTCTTATGCTTTGTAACTCTTAGTAATGGTTGTCTTTTTGCTATCTCTCCTATTCCTTGTTCTGCTAACCATTTACACAAGCTTATTAGGTAGATTATGCGCTGCTTCTATCCCTTTGCCTTCAATATGTCTTGGGAGTATCTAATTTGTCAAACCTTCTTTCCTAATTATATGTCCTAGAAATCTCAACCCTCTGTTTCTGATTCCAATTAAAAGTGTCTTTTTCTTTCCATTCCCCCTTGAAGTTTCCTCGTTGCTCACATGTTCAGCCCTTTGCATTCCCAGCATCCTTCTGTAGAACCAAATCTCTTTTGTCTCAAATCTTCTCTGCATCTGTAAGGAAACTGTCCAGTATTCACTGTCATAGAGGTAATAAATATAAAAATTAAGAAAATCGCAAAAAACAAACCAAGACAAATGGAATGACTAACGTTAAGAGTGGCTCTGTAAAATAAAGAAAGTCGTCAGCCTAAGTCAGAAACCAATATTAGAGATATCATAGAAGTGATTAAACAAGAACCGAAGGCGACGAGACACGGTGCAAGAAGAAAAGATAACAGACGGAGTAAAAGGTCGCTTGACAGGTAGCCAATGCGTAGCGAATGTAGCAGGTAAAGATCAGCTAGAAGATATTCTTTTAGGTGCCATTTTCCTTCAATACTTGGGCGATTATCGTTCTCCACAACTTCCTGTCTTTTCACCCTTTACCGTTCGCTTTTGTTCTGCTTTTCATTTACACAAACTCGTTTGTTAAATTACTCGCTGCTTTCACCTGCTTCACTTGTCTTCAATATGTACTATGAGTGTCAAATTCTCTAAACCTTCTTTCGTCAACTGTTTCTTTCTGATTGTATGTATAAGTTTACTTGTAGTTCCTACTTCCAACATAACTTCATTGTTGTTCACATGTCCTGTTCATGATATTCGTCGGTAGAACAACATCTCTGTCACTTCAAGTCTTTTTCATCTGTGAATAGATTGTCCAGCATTTACCAGAATATAGAAGGCGAGATAATGTATACTACTTCAGTACTCGTTGATTTGTTTCTAAATATATTCTTTTTGGTTTAATACTTTTAGTTTCTGGAAGGCATATTTTTCTATTTCTTCGCACCCTCGGATTTTTTTCTCACATTTCCTGTCGTCTATTTTATCCGGATACTTAAATTTTGGCACCTGCTTGGCATCCTCATTATGTACTTCTATCTTAAGTTCTCCCTTTTGCTGATGATCATAAAACCTATTTTCTTGCAGTTATAGTAGTCCTTTCTTTATGCTTTCCATTACTAGCTTGTGTAAGAGTTCTTTAATTTTTTTTCAGAGTCTACCATTAAAACATTGTTATTCGCGTATCCGCACTCTGATACTTTCGAGTTATTGTAAAATCTCTGATCACCTCACAGCAGTAGTTTTTTGAGAAAACAAAGATTAGAAAATGACTTATCTCATACTAAAATCTACGATAGTCTAATTCCCTTTTTAATCCTTATCCTCCCGGCATCAGTTTAAACTGATGCCTTATTTTTAACCTTACACCTCATTCACCCAACCTTCGGTCAGTTCAGAATCACCTAACGAGGTCTTCTGTTAGTACGGTGATTTTCGAAGTATAGCTTAGATGTGGCACAAAGCCGAAAGTATGTGGCACTCAGTGAAGATCGAACTCACTACTCAGTCGTAACTGATCTAGCGAGACAAGCTTGTTAATCATTACATCACGACGAAGTCCCCAGGTCTTCTGCTAGTATGTAGCTAGATTTTATTCGTCGCCGGTTCACAAGACCTTAGCACCTACCATTCCCTTGCGGTCACCCATGTAATTACTGACCGGGTACAACTTTGCTTAACTTCGACGATAAAAGAAGGATCTAGTTTAAATTGTCGCCAGGAGAATACAAAATAGTTAGGAAAGTAATTAATTCCGATGAAGTGTCTGCCTCGTCGACTATTTCGTCGGCTTAGCAGATATTGTTTCTTGAATTATAAAGTCATTAGATCCTCGATCATTCTCGGCCGTCTTCGTAATAAATATATCAGGTCTCTGATGGCGTTCATTTCTCACCACGGAGAAATTAGTATACAATTACGGCCACACGCCTTGGTAACAATCTTAGCTGAAGATAATTGCAGAAATAAAGACGATAATATATTAAGATAGAAGAATATATTGGTGTTAGTATTTGCAGTCTGAAATAGTTAAACCGGTAGATGTACTTAATAGCCGTCAACATTTTCATGTATCGCTCAGAATAAGTACAGAAGTCCTCCTCATACGTAGTTTCATTTTCCACGGTTTTAGTTATCCGCGGTCAACTCTAAAACATAAGTTTTACTTCCTGATAGATTCACATACACGTAAATTCTATTGGGAAAGACATGAATCCATATTCTTCCCGCAGCTATGGGTTAAATAGTAAACTGGTAAATGTCCTTAATAGCAGATAACATTAACATGTATCTCTCAGAATAATTTGATGTATTTGTTTTCTATGGTTTATCAACCTTTTGTAGGTTATTTAAAAGCAGAAAATATTTTTTAGATTGTAAGATTTTTTTCTTTTGGATATAACAATGATTTAGTGATAAAAGGCTTACTAATTAATCCATAGCTGGGGAAAAAGTGTAGATTCATATCTTACCCAAGGGTATTTGCGCGTAAATGAATAAAACAAATACAACTGAAATTGGAACTCGGCTCTCCGATTAACAATTCCGAGCCATTATCCATCAAACCACCTGCACATCCAAGCTTACAGCTATTCCCAAAAGGTCACCCATCTAGGTACTGACTAGGCACGACGTTGCTTAACTTCGGTGATCTTACGGAAACTGGTATTTTAA